CGATTCACTTAACGACCGTGGCAGGAAAGATTGTAAAATGGGGCAAACTTAACAAGTGTCTCTCTCAGGCAAAAGAAACGCCGGGCTCAACTGCGGCCCTACGTCGAGGACGGCCTGGAGTGTACTGCTATTGTTCAATAACCGAGGACCAAAAATGGCTGTTCTTCTGTGGCAACTCATCCAGGTGCCTACTGGTAGATGCAGAATTGTAAGAGCAACAATCTGGAACTGGTAGATCAAGATTCTGTCTAAAAACAATGCATGGCCGTTGAGCAAGAAATAATCACCAAAGTAAATGACCTATTAAAATCTGCTTCATTGGATTTCTTGCTGTAGGAGAGTCGTGGTTTTTTTTTTTTTTTTAACACACCCTGTTCTTGAAACACTCATCCCAGTGTAATTACCTCATGGAATGAGGGCTAAGGACTGCGTCTCTGCTATTCTTTCTTCATCATAGCTTTACTTCCTGGTTATATAAATTATTTCTCAGCTATTGGTAATGTTTATTGTTTATATCAGAGCTTTCAGGTTGCCTTAGGCATGAAAGCCAGCTGGGTGCATTTGGGCCAATTCCCCCCCCTCTCTCTCTGGGGGGGGGGGAAGCAGGAGAAAGGAGTATCTGCTATGTTCACCTGCCTGAGTTATTGATGAAAACAATAAAAGCAGGATATAAACAAATAAATTACCAATCACAACCAACTAGGACAGGAATCTTCAAGCTTTTAAGACTTGTGGACTACAACTCCCAGAATCCCTTCTCCAGTCATGTTAGCTCAGGAATTCGGGGAGTTGAAGTCCACAAGTCTTAAACTTGCCAAGTTTGAATTAGGGAAATAGATGCATTGTATATACCAGGATGGGCTACAATGTCCCTTTTACGACCTGTGGACTTCAACTCCCAGCATTCCTGAGTCAGCCTGGCTCAGGAATGCTGGGAGTTGAAGTCCACAGGTCGTAAAGGGGACATTGCAGCCTGTCCCTGGTATATATTAATACAATCCAATTAAAGTATAAAAATCCACTGGACCCACCCCCTGTGAGGCAAGCTTAAAAACTGAATATGAGATGACATTTGCTTTCCTCTTTTCTGAGTATCTTACCTTAAGAGAAAACGCCCAGAGAAATATGCATTTATAATGTACATAGAACAGTTTAAACATGATAGCTTGGCAATATCTTCCTTGACCTCTGGTACTAAAGGATCCATAATACAACCGCAAAACTAACAAAGCCACATCATGTATGGGTTAGGGCGAAACCTTTATACTTAATGTAAAGAAGTTACACTAGTTGAAGGTTAGCTTATCCGTTTTAATATAAATGGTAATGTTTCCGCTTTCAATGTTTGATATTTTAATCCTGGAATTGTTTTGTTCTGTTACTTATGTTGAACGTTGCGTGATGGATGGAGACATGGGTGCCATACAAATTTAATCAACAAACAAACAAAGATGCAGGCCACCATTGCCAATTTATTTGGCGTCCTGAAGTTGCATGAGAGTTAATTAAGTAGTCCTTGACTTACAACCACAACTGAGCCCCAAATTTCTGTTGTTAAGTGAGTTTTGCCCCATTTTACAACCTTTTTTTGCCACGATTGTTAAATGAATCACTATAGTTGTTAAGTTAGTAAGATGGTTGTTAAATGAATTTGGCTTCCCCATTGACTTTGCTTGTCAGAAGGTTGTAAAAAGTGTGTCAGGGCTCCAACAAATCCACCCTCATTCAAATCAAAAGTTTTTAGCCACATCTCAGAGAAAAGTAAATTGGTTTACTAGCAGTTGCCATGTTGGGGTGTGGCTGGGTGCAGCCGATACTAAATCGCATCATACATTTCCCCCTTGACCCTGGCCTTTCCCCCACCCCCTGGGTGTGACTTCTCCAATGGGACACATCCATCTCCAAGAGTCCTCCATTATGCTCTCCAATAACCTTCTTATGCTCCGACAACTTTGGGCTGCTGGGGTGATTATCTAGGCATTTAAGGAATGCCTTATTTTCCCTCACTCCCTTTTCCTGGCAGCTGAGTTTCTGCCTCTCTGAGGTTCTACTTCTCTTTTAGGGGAAATATTCTGCCTTTTAAAATATATATCCTAAAACATTTCATTTTTTTCTAGGAGAGGGGTGGGTTTTAACTTCCAACACATGAAAAGGGAAGGGTGTCTCTTTGGAGGCAACACCCATTTCAAGCCAACATTTAAAAGTGGAGTGGATTTCTTCAACGTGCAACTCAAAAACCGTCTAGACAATGAAAAAAACGTCGAACTCAAAAACCGTCTAGACAATGGAGAGAAGGACCTGTACATTGACTACCATGCTGACTGTATCAAAAGTAAGCCACGCAACCCAATACTCAGCTTTTACCCTCAACCACAACCCTACCTCAACCCATCCACCATCACCCAAGACTAGGCACGCACGGCCCCAACTACCTCAATTCCAACTACTACCAGCCTTAAATGCAAACTACTCAATGCAAGAAGCCTCGTGAATAAAATACCTGAATTTCTCTTCCTCCTAAATATGGCTAACTTCGACATTATATTTGTCTGTGAAACATGGCTCAATGCATCTCTCCCCGACTCCATTACCACAGTAAGAGACTATCATGTTTACAGATCAGATCGTGAAAATCGTCGAGGAGGTGGTGTTGCTATATTCTATAAAAAATCCTTACATCTAAAAAATATCCAAGTTACCCAGGAGCTTGCCCTTCCTGAAACCATCATCTGTGAACTATCCTCAAATATCACAATTCGATTCTTACTATGTTACAGAGCACCTGATTATGACATCGAACATGTAAACAAGCTAAATACATTACTAACATGGGCTGCATCCTGCCCATACCCTTTTATCCTTCTTGGTGATTTCAATCTACCTCATATTGACTGGACCCTAAATGATTGTACAACTGAAATCATACACACAACCTTCTACAATGCTATTACAAATCTGGGACTGGAACAACTAGTAATCAACAACACTAGACTAAACAACTGCCTCGATCTCATCTTCTGCAACAGTTTGAACCTAATTTACGGAATACAAACTAAAGAACCCTTTTCCAGTAGTGACCACAATATGATTGACTTTTGTCTCAACATACATCCACACAAAAATCACCACAATGATGTAATCCCCTATTGTAACTTCAAAAAAGGCAACTATGATCTTATTGACAACGATCTCTCATCCCTTGATTGGCAATCTCTATTCACTGGATGCAATACCGTTGAAGACCATTACAACATATTTTTACTTGAAGTCAAAAGAGTCATCAAACTATATGTTCCAACAACAACTCCCAAAACAAAACAAAAAAGCAGATTACCCATATCAATAAGGAAACTTCAATCCCAAAAGAGATCACTCTGGCGGAAAAACAAATCTGGTCACGTTGCCAATTTCAAAAACCGATACAAAAATTTATGCCACCAGATAAAGACCGAATGCACCAATTATCACATTAAACAAGAGGAAAACCTTCTAAGCACCAATTCCACCCGAGCTTTTTACAATTTTGTAAACAACAAACTAAAAGACTCAAGGTCCATCCCTCCCTTGATAGGACCTGATGGTAAAGACTGCAATGACGACACCATTAAAGCCAACATCTTTAACACATTCTTCGGCTCAGTATTTGTAAACAGCAATGGATCATGCCCAGTATTTCCTAGCCGTACCACAGATAACAACAATGATCTAATACATATCGATTTCACAGAAGACAATGTCGAAAAATCACTACGCAATCTAAAACCATCTCTATCTATTGGACCGGATGGAATATGTGCCTACTTCTTAAGAAAGCTATCCACTGCCATAGCCAAACCTCTAAGCATAATCTTTGAAAAATCTTTCAGGACCAGCTCCTTGCCTAACCTATGGTCACAAGCCACAGTCATCCCCATCTTCAAAAAGGGAGACCCAAGCCTAGTTGAAAATTACAGGCCAATCTCCTTATGCTGCGTCACCTGTAAAGTCATGGAATCAATTATTAACCAATCCATCATCCTCCACTTAAGAGACAAACAACCTACTCTCCAATAAACAATTTGGTTTCAGAAAAAAACTATCCTGTAATCTGCAACTCTTACACTGCAAAAACATATGGACGACACAACTCGACCAGGGCAAAGCAATAGACGCAATCTACATAGACTTCTGTAAAGCCTTTGATTCAGTGGTACACGACAAACTACTCCTAAAAATAAAATCCTATGGTATCTCTGGACAACTGAATAACTGGATAGAAGCATTCCTGTCAAACAGACAACAAATGGTCAAAATCGGGAGCGTCCTATCAAATCCAGTACCTGTCAATAGTGGTGTCCCCCAGGGCAGTGTTCTAGGACCAACTCTCTTCATACTCTACATAAACGACCTCTGTGATCATATTAAGAGCAATTGCGTTCTCTTCGCTGATGATGTAAAGCTGTTCAATACCACAGACAATACTGCTACCCTACAAAAAGATCTTGACTATGTATCAGAATGGTCAAACAAATGGCAACTTCAAATCTCAACAAATAAATGCTCTGTCTTACATATTGGCAAAAAAAATCAGAAAATAAAATACAAGCTGAATAGTCAAGATCTTGTTGATGACTCAAGCTCTGTAAAGGACCTTGGAATACTCACCTCTAATGATCTAAGTGCTAGAGCCCACTGCAACTACATAGCCAAAAAGGCATTAAGAGTTGTTAACCTAATCCTACGTAGCTTTTTCTCTGGTAATATCACACTACTAACCAGAGCATACAAAACATTTGCTAGACCAATACTCGAATACAGTTCATCAGTCTGGAACCCTCATTACGTATCTGATATTAGCACAATTGAGAAAGTCCAGAAATATTTCACAAGAAGAGTTCTCCACTCTTCTACTCGTTGTAGAATACCTTATGCCACCAGACTTGAAATTCTAGAACTAGAAAACCTTGAATTACGCCGTCTTCGGTCTGACTTAAGCATGGTATATAAAATCATACATTGCAATGTCCTACCTGTCAATGAATACTTCAGCTTCAACCATAACAACACAAGAGCACACAATAGATACAAACTCAAAGTAAACCGCACCAAACTTGATTGCAGGAAATACGACTTCAGCAATAGAGTGGTCAATGTCTGGAATACTCTACCCGACTCTGTAGTTTCTTCCCCAAACCCCAAAAACTTTAACCTTAGACTGTCTACTATTGACCTCACCCCTTTCCTAAGAGGTCTGTAGGGGGCGTGCATAAGCGCACCAACGTGCCTACCGTCCCTGTCCTATTGTTTCTTTTATTTTTCTTATATGTACCCATTTCATGTATTCACAACTATGTATACACTTATACTTATTATCTTGTAAACAATTGGCAAATCAAATAAATAAATAAAAATAAAAATAAATATCAGATTGACAGAGGAGGAGAACAAAAAAACAACACCGGAACCTGCTACAAAACCTACAAAGATGTTGGGAATATGTAAGTCCCACAGAAGCTTCAATAAAAGTTGTTTTTCTTGTTGAAAAACCAGCCTGGGTCTTTTGCCCCTCAGCACCTGCCCTCAGCACTCTGCATTCAATAAAGAAGAAAGCAGGCGGAGAGAGAAACCCAGGGGTTTGTTTGATCCCTTCATTCCAGGAATCGATTACTGAGAATGGCCTCCGGATCAACAACGCTGTCCTATCTTTAAAGATGCTACACCAGAGAGAAGGCTTCTCTCCGGCCTGCCGAACCATAAAGCCCTTCAGGCATCGCCTCAGATGGGTTGAGTTCAAGCTATTTAAGTCTGCCGCTTAGGAATTCCAAAGCTGTAGGCTAGTTGCTTGAGAAGGCTGTGGAAAAGCCCAGACATTAAACATCAAACAAATCAACCTGAAGCCACTGGAGGCACAAATGACCAAGCTCAAATTATCCTACTTTGGACACTTAAACACAAAGACCTACAGCTGCAGCCAACAAAGAAGCCAGCAAACAACCTGATGCAGTCTTTTTTTTTTTAAGCCAACACAATCCTAGGCTGCGTTAATAGATAGATAGAATCAAACTTATGTGAAAAGTGAGTACCGCGTTAGAGTCCCTTGATAAGATCACACTTAAAACACTTGTGTTGGAAGAATTATCCTTCTGGGTTCAGTTCCAAGTGGGAAAAAAAGACACTGGAAATATGGAGGCTGTTTGGAAAGATGGTTTAATGGTGGACAGGACCTCATGGCTTGGAGCCTCCAAAGTGAAAAGGACGATCACATGCTTCAAGGTGTTGGGTGAAGGGAAAGAAAAAAAGGCCAAGATGCTGAGAGACCCTTAGTTATATGCCCTCTGTTGGGCCCCATCTTAGTAAGGCAGGACATAAAAATATATTAATTTTAGAGATATGTGGTATTAGCAAGAGAAAGAACAAGGAAGTTTGAAAAGCCAAAGCACAAGGATCATCTATCGGTCACATTTGCCAAGAAACCTAGTCTCACTTGTAACAAAACCACAAGCTAGGGAGTTTAGCAAGATGGGTTTGTGACATCCAGCCATCCTAGCTTAACAACAGGGGAAGGGGAAAGCTGTACTTCAAGTAACCAATGAATGACTGACAAGTTATATTTCTGTGTTTTGCCCCTTCTGAAGAAGTATATAGGCATGTACTGTTCTATAAGAAATTTGTTCAGAAGTGACTCTCACTAAAATACTCTGAACCGGTTTGCACAAATAAAACCAACTTATTTTTGGATTCCAAGGTCTGAATCTCGTAATTTCCTGCAACATTAGTGTTTCCTGTTCCTGTGTAAGGAATGTATCCCATTGGTTGTCAGACTCCCAGGGGGGTGGGGGTCTTAGCTAACTTTGTAGACTTTGTCGTGGCTTCACCTGAGTGCTGGCTGATGCAGGTCAGGTGGTGAGATGGGTAGAGGCCTTTGTTATGTAGAATATTCTGGCCCAGATCTTAATGGCCCATCCATTAACAAAGGTAAGGATGAGCTTCTGCTACTGAGGTGAATTTCTGCTTCTGAGTTTCTACTTCTCTTTTTAGGGGAAATAAAATAGCCCTTAGACTTATAAACCACTTTACAGCCCTTTACAGAGTCAGGATTATTGCCACCGACAATCTGGGTCCTCGTTTTACCGAATTCGGAAGGATGGAAGGCTGAGTCCATTTTGAGCCTGGTGAGATTTGAACAGGCAGCCACCAGTCAGCAGAAGTAGCCTGCAATACTGCACTCTAACCACTGCACCACCATGGCTCATAAGACATTGAGAATCTGATAACAGATAACAGATAATCAGAGTTGGAAGGGACCTTGTAGGTCATCTAGTCCAACCCCCGCCCAAGTGGGAGACCCTACACCATTTCTGACAAATCTCTTCTTGAAAGTCTCAAGTGATGGCGCTCCCACAACTTCCGAGGGCAAGCTGTTCCATTGGTTGATTGTTCTCACTGTCAGAAAGTTTCTCCTTATTTCCAGGTTAAATCTCTCCTTGTTCAGTTTCCATCCATTATTCCTTGTCTGGAGCTTTAGAAAATAGCTTGACCCCTTCCTCTCTGTGGCAGCTCCTTAAATATTGGAAGACTGCTATTATGTCTCCCCTGGTCCTTCTCTTTACTAGACTAGCCAAGCCCAGTTCCTGCAACCGTTCATTGTATGTTTTAGCCTCCAGTCCCTAATCATCCTGATTGCTCTTCTCTGTACTTTCTCTAGAGTCTCAACATCTTTTTTATAATGTGGTGAACAAAACTGAATGCAGTACTCTAGGTGTGATCTTACTAAGGCTTTATAGAGTGGTATTAGTACCTCACTTGATCTCGATTGTATCCCTCTGTTAATACAATTTAGGATTGCATTATCTTTTTTGGGCGGCTGCTGCACACTGCTGGCTCCTATTTAGCTGGTTGTCCACTAAGACTCCAAGATCTCTCTCACAGTTACTGCTATTGAGCAGTTGGAAGTGCTAAATAGAAATATTAGAGATGAAAAGAATATAAAAGGGATGAAAATTAAAAAGGAAGAATTCAAGTTGCAAGCATTTGCAGATGATCTGGTTTTTATTCTAGAAGACCCACTAGAAACAGCATCAAAATTGATAGAAAAGATAGAGACATATGGAAAGGTGGCTGGTTTGAAAATAAAGATAAGACAAAGATCTTGACGAATATGCTATCAAGACAAAAGGAAGAACTGGCAGACCTATTGAAAATTCAGGTCACGAATAAGATCAAGTACTTGACAGCAAGATGCAGTACACTAAAAGAAAATAATTATATCAAACTTAAACAGCAGATAGCGCTAGATTTGGCAAAATGGGAAAATTTACAACTGTCATTAATAGGGAGAATATCAACAATCAAGATGAATATATTACCCAGAATTTTATATTTGTTTCAAACAATTCCAATTAGGCTTGGAAAAGACTATTTTGAAGATTTAAATAAAATTGTGTTGAAATTTATATGGCAAGGTAAGAAAGCGAGAATAAAACTAAAACTCTTGCAAGAAGCTAGAATAAGAGGAGGATTTGGTTTGCCTAATTGGGGGTTGTATTGCCAAGCTACAAATTTGATGTGGGTTAAGGAATGGATAACATTAAGAAATGCTAGATTGTTGACATTAGAAGGACATGATCTGTTGTTGGGGTGGCATGCTTTTCTATAGGAACTAAAACACAGGGGTACTTTAGAAGACATTATATACGGGAGTCTCTGTGGTTAAACTGGGAGAAGATTAAAAGACAATGTTATTTGAAAATTCCAGTCTGGCTATTGACTATTGAAGCATTTTCTTATCCTATAATATACAAAAAGGAACAAACAGTTAGATATGGTGAAATATTGAATGAAAAGGGTGAACTTAAATCTATACAAAAACTAGAGGAACAAGGTATAAAGATGAATTGGTTTTCATATGCGCAAATACATTCAAAGTATGATAAATATTTTAAAACAGAAGGTTTCTATGATAAACTGACTGATTTAGATAAGATTTTGACAGGTACTGATGAAAAGGTAATTAAAAAATTGTATGGATATTTATTAGAAATTAAACTAGAAGAAGAACAAGTTAAAGAAACTATGATTGCTTGGGGGAAGAATTTTGGATATGGGATTGATCTAGAGAAATGGCAAAAATTGTGGTCTCAAAATTATAAAATGACAATGTCAACAGCATATAAAGAAAATTTGTATAAGATGTCTTACAGGTGGCATTTCCCCCCGACAAGAATAGCAAGAATGTTCAAGAATAAATCCAAAAAATGTTGGAAATGTCATCAGACACCTGGCTCATATTACCATATGTGGTGGACTTGTGCGGATGCTAAAAAATACTGGACTAAAATCCACACGTGGTTGGAAAAAATGAAAAAAAAAGCATATAGACTTGAAACCAGAGATATTTTTATTGGGAATTTTACCTGAAATATATAGTAAACATTTGAAATACCTGATTGTAAATGTATTAACAGCGGCTAGGATTGTATTTGCTAAAAACTGGAAAAATGAGAAAATACCATCACAGGAGGAAATTACTGGAAATATTGGAATGTGCTGAAATGAGTAGATTGACATTTGAAATTAGAGAACAGGATGATAAACAATTTTATAAAGTTTGGGATCTATTTTATTAATGGTTAGACAATAAAGTATAGTAACGAAATATGTAGACTTTTAGAAAATACTAAATATATAAAGATGTATTCTTTTCTTATTATATCTACAAATTGTTTTTAGGATAGATTTGGGATGATAATATGAATTGTCACAAAACAAATTAAGTAAAATATGATTATTTTCCAAAGCATGAATGAATAAAAGTATAGTCAAATGATTGATTAATAATGATACCAATGTATTTAATATTGGATTGAAAATATGAGATCATATACAATGTAATTGTAATTGAAGACTACGAAATGGAAGCACAAAACAATTTGTAAACCAACCGGCACACTGTGTGTACATATATGGAAGATGGCCTGATGTTTTTATGTTTTGTTTGTTTATGTTTGTTTTTAAAAACCTATAAAAATTTTATAAAAAAAAGAAGAAGAAATTTCCCGACAGTTAGAACACTTAATCAGTAGGACAGCTTGCCTTCAGAATTTGTGGGTCCTCATCATTGGAGGTCTTTAGGAAGAGATTGGTCATCCATTTGTCTGAAACAGTATCAGGTCTCCTGCTTAAACAAGGGGGTTGGACT